TGTATGGCAACGGGCCCCCTGTATGTTGTTCAATGAGGTTGCCATCACTTACTACATGAGTATTTCGCCTGAAAATGACGCTGGATAATCATCAGCCAATGTCTGGTGACATACACGGACATACAAGTTACATGTTAAAACCGGCTCATCAGAGACTAAGAACATGTTTTAGACATGCTTACTTTTGTTGAAATCTGTCATTTACCAAATGTCAAACAGATATATCACAAAAAATGTGTTTTCACGTGGCAGTACAGGAAAGCAATATTTCAAGTTAATGGACGGAAATATTCCGGAGACAGACCCATCAATGTCGGTTTATCCAGAATATCTGCATTTTTGATAATTATCAAACAGAGAAAAAAATGTGTTCTATTCGACGTTTTCTCATTCGATGGTAAAAATGAGTCACAATGTTTTTTCAACATTCACAAAATCGTGAAATGTGATCGGTAATATTAAACTTTATGTTTACAGGAGATTAATGTATCTATTTTATTACCACCATCAACACAGCAGAATTGAAATTTATCATTTTAATGAGAGGGTCTTTTAAATCCGAGACTTTTAAATGGCCAACTTTAAACAAATTAATTTGAAATAAAAACGCGTCCAGACGATTCGGTAAGTAAACGCAACACATTTATAACCAAAATACACATAGAAAATTGAAACAAAGTCTACGAAAGTGAAAACAGTTAGGAATGTAGTAGGAATGTATCAACAAAGATATAAACAGAAAACGATCTATACACACAAATAGTAAACGTTAGATCTATAGAAGTAATTTTACGACAAACATGTGAAGTTAGAGACAATATTGTCAATAGCCTCCACTACATCTGTGGTTCTTAAAATGTCTTATATATAGACATCGGAAATTTGATGAAAGTTAGAAAAATATCTTTAGATTTATTACTATCTGGCATATGTATATATATATACATATATATCGAAATTTGTAGAAAAGTATACATAGATTTCGATTCATAGAGGTGTATTTTCATGTTGGTATTACAAGCTACCCAGTCATGTCAATGTTTGTACGTATGTTGTATATATTTGAGGAGAGGACGACGATAATTGCTGTCCGACTTGTGTCAGTGGCTGTGACAAGTTGTACTGTTTTATCGATAATGGAGACAGGTAGAGAGGCATGGGACTGTTACGGAAGCTCAATGATCGATGTGAATTAGGTACATCTCACAATGTGTATTACCGCAACAAAGAAATGTAACTTTGGTGATAAAAACTCATACATTGCTTTATTGTTAAGTGTAACGCACGGGCTATCTCAATCCTACCTGGACACGTGTGATTGTCACGCTGTATACAGAAGTTATCTGGAACAGCACTTATTATAACTACAAATTTGAAAGTTTCGATCACGGGATACGACTAAAAAATGACCAAAGACTGGTGCTCAATCTAATCACTGTTTTTAAATATGTTTGAACAACTACGATACGAAATAACACCACAAAAACACGACGGTTTCGAGTTATAATCAAACGGTGGAGTTTACCTGGACCTACAGAAAAATCACAGAGAAAGACCAGATATGGCAACAAAATGACCCTCTATGTCAGTTTATTGTGACCAAGTAACAGACAAACGATATTCTACTCAAATGGCTTCGAATTCGATCTAAATATCGTTAAACGTCACTAAGAGTTGTAGGACTGATGACGTCATCAACTCGTTTCTGTATGGATGCTCAGAAGTACCATCCTAATATATCAAATCCAGTTAAATTTCACATGGTATACAGAATATCACTCGTGAAAATGTTCCGCCATTTCAATTAAATGTATTCATGAATTCACAAGGTTTTTCTGCAGAAGACAGAATCGTCAAACGAATCGGATTAAACTTTTAGGACTTCAGGAGGAAGACCCAGAGAGTACATCAATTATAATACTGATACACACCGTAATGACACTAATGTCTTGCTGATCAGTCACAACAAATTTAAATATGGATAAGAAAATCGACAATGTATTCATTTCTAAAGAGTCTGTCAATCTGCTGCCAAGTATCAGTCACGGCTCCAGCGTTACATTTCAGTTAAAAATGAGACAAGTCAGAAATATTAAAACAAAATGATAATGTAATATTACACATTCATTTATTTTACATGTAAATGGTGTCCTGACTACAAATCAAATTGTTTGTTGTTCTCACTTTGGATACATTGAATTAATGTCGTCGATCACGGACGCTGCAGGGCTATGATTGTCAAGCTTTAAAATACTATTCACCGAGGCCTTGGGTGAACATCATTTTTCTCGGGTGCATAAATCCTTGTATTAACCTAATGTAAATCTATTAATGTCGAGCAAAGGAAATTCCTGCAATGTAAGTGTACCCTTTTTTAATCTAGTTATCTTGTCGTCGATTTTTGTAGAATGATACTCCGGGTAGACGGTGTATTCTCGAGCCTGTCTGCAATATAATATCTTTTCTGGAATTATACTTATGTATCTATTCTATAATAAGCATGTTCCTACCTGAGATTTTATGATACCAGATTACGTAATATGTCATATGAAAAAAGATATTACTAACCAATCAAATTAAAGGAATGTACCATGTGTGTGTACATGTATTTCTATGTAGTTACAACATCGTCCCTGTCAGTTTCCTCTAAAGAAAAAAAACTTAAATATGCAATACATTCAGTATTTTAAGTGTAGAGAAGTTATCCCCTTACAGGCTGTATGGTATGAACTGAACTGCGCATGTGTTCCCAGAATCTGCAACATACGAAACCTTAAACAAAACGACGAAACGAAATGAAACCTACTTTCAACATTTAGTTCTCAGCGACGTTTTTCTGGCCCAGATAAGTAAAATCAGACAGGTAAAGAACGGGATGAGATTATCACTCGACTGACTTAATGGCCTGTAGTGATATTGGCGGAAGTATTTAGGGAGATCGCTAATCTGGATTTTTACAGAAGGTGATTATCGTCTGACGATCAGATCCGCCTAATTTTTATGACGTGAAACGACTCTAGAGGGCGTTTTAAATTTCCTTATGAAATGATATCTTCTAGTTAAGTGGTGTCACTCCTGAATAGATTTATTCACCGTAGACGTAAACTTCCACCTAACACGTATCTCGCCAGCTCATGGTCACCAACAACCCGTAGTGGATACCTTAAATTTTATACCCAGACTTAATGTTACTGGTTTATTGTAAACTGACTTTTGTGACCCATTGGATTGTAGTCACGACCTTGTGGCAATCTTTGTTTGGTGCTATTTGTTTCACTGTTACGTCTCTGTCGCATTTGTTCACATTGATAAACTTTCTGACGTCAATTAGTCACATTGATAAACTTTCTGACGTCAATTAGTCACATTGATAAACTTTCTGATGTCAATTAGTCACATTGATAAACTTTCTGACGTCAAACTTTCTGATGTCAATTAGTCACATTGATAAACTTTCTGATGTCAATAAGTCACATCGATAAACTTTCTGACGTCAATTAGTCACATTGATAAACTTTCTGACGTCAATTGTTCACATTGATTAACGTCTTTGCTATCAAATGTCCACACTGATACACGTTCCTGATGTCAGTTGTTCACACTGAAAACGTCTTTTTATGATGTCAGTTGTTCGATATTAGAAAAGTCTGATGTCACATGCTGACATTGATAATGTCGTTGGAACCAGACTTTGATATTAAGACTAATATTTTAGTTATTGATGTCAAATTTTTATGTCTGTCGTTCAGGTCAGCTCGGATGATGTGTTTAGTAGTACTCAGACAGCTGGCTCCAGCCTGAATGACGAGGACAATTGATCTGTATTTAGTCGATATCGGAACGCACAGTTCTGATTCACTGATCGATATATCTCTCTCCTCTGTAACCCTACCCGAGGCTAGAACATCGTCCTGATGTGCTTAAGGACAACACTGGTTTAACATTGTAAATAGGCTAGGACAGCGCAACATGGGCGTTTAGAGAGTACGGTAGTGCGATATAGAATTATAACATGTTGATTCTGGACAGGTAGACAAAATCAATACATTATAATACAGGATGTGTTACAATTACTTGTGTCGTTCACTGTCGACTTAGTTTTGTTACGTAAATTACATTCACTATTCTTAATCTAAGTATGAAATTTTCCTGTAAAATAGACGTTTAAATAGGCGAGTGAACGGGCTGTTGAGTATTCGTGGGTAACATTGTACGGTATTGTGTGTAGAGGTGGCCACGCGGGGACACAGTCAAACCCTTTTGTAGCCGAAATGTTCAGAGTTCTTTGTCAATATTTAACAGTGAACAACGAACTTCGTATTTACTTCATTTTCTATCGTCAATAACCCAATCGCTGCATTAAGCCAGCAGTATAGATCACACAGGTAAAAATGAAAACATACATTATATATATATTCTATGTTTGAGTAACCGTAAGTCGATATGCTAATTTCACCGATTTTTGTCACGTGACGTCAGGTTACATTACGGCGCTTCAGACCACATGCTAGACTGTCGGATTGTCAAGAGCTACATGTGTTTGTCTTGCTACACCTGTATCAGTGTACCTGTTAATCACACATTTGATGTACGTACATGATACGGTAAAAATTTACACTTGTAAATCATATGTATCCATGTAGACAAGTGTATTTGAAGATGTGAGCCTCTAATATCTACCCCACATCCGACACAACTTACCTGTATACAGTTCATCAGGGGATTATTTAATATACAACTGCATATATCACGTGTATTACCTGTAATCGCTGTCCAGGTTTACGTTTTTCACCTGGATACACCTGTGCACGTTACCTGGAAGGAGTCCGTGTAGTTTTTTGTTTGTGATGTATCGTGTGTGCAGTAATTCTGGGCTAGCCAGTGAGTCCGTTGTTCGCTGGCCCCAACCTAGTAGTGGAGCAGAGTAGGATTTCTAGGTGAAGTTGTGTAATTTTTAGCTTGGATTTAACACGATTTGACAAAGGTAAAACAGTTTAAGATGATGATGACGGAGGCGAATTATCGTAGTAAAAATCTCACGGATTGGAATGGCGTGTTGGAAGATCTCTTTGGCTCTGGTAAGTTTGTTTAAACTAAAGAATTATTGCATAATTTCTTACAAAATAACAATGTAAACACCGATAAAATGATATCATGTTGAAATACAGTGCATTGTGCATAAGAATTATGTGTAGGAGGTTGTTGAAAGACGATTGTAGTTTGAAACCAGGATATGCATTGATATAAAGACATATTATCCTAATTCATACACTAACGATAGAGAAATGTAAAGACATATTTGAGAGATTGTGTAGAACTGTACTCGTGATGTAGCATTCAGTATAACAGGAGACATTGTATATGTAGGAACGACTCTGCTCACAGGCACTTTTTAAAATGTTGACTATATGTTCTGGTGTATTTAAAATGTAAGATATATTCAGCATTTAGTATCAAGTGTATTCCTCCGCAACAGCTGGAGCTGATAAGGTGGCTCACTCGTCGATAGAATATTCATAAGTATAAATATAGACATGTCGAAACTACTTCTCATGTGTGCAATACAGACATATGATTATTAATAAATTAGTCCTACAACACTAGCCGACTAGTGTAATAACTCTGGTAGCAGATGTGTTTCACACCATGTAACTGACAATACAACTACACAATATACTGACATTTGTCACTGTTAGAGGGGTAGTTAATATGAACAATCACCTGTAACACGTGTTGTACATGTACTTATGTGTCGTCTGCTCTTGGAGTCAGTAGGTACATTTGTTTAAGATGTGTCATCCAATGTTTCTATGAACTAAAGTAGGTGGAATGTTGCAAATTTGATGGCAGCATTTGCAAATACTTCAACGAGTTTAGACTCAATGTTGTGTTTTACATGAACGTCACATCAAGGTAGCATACACCCTTAAGTCTAGACGATTTTATATTTTACAAGTATACCCAGATCACAAGACATTGCGTCACGGTAACTTGTACATTCGCTAGGATTTAGAACACGTTTTACATCGAATCAATAATTTCTGTAATTAATTCCTGGGATATATTTCGCCGTCACGTCATTGTTCCTGTCAGCCTCCACGTGCGATAGTTCTGATTTGATCAAATTGTGTAGTGAATATTTCATAAGGTACGGGAAGGTCTTCTGTTAGGAAAATAGCCTGCATTCCTTAAGTATCATTATCAGCGAAAATAAAGTATTTTTGTATTGGAAGTTTGAGTTCAAGTTATTTTCAGTTCAATATCTTGCCGACACGTCTTAACACTAAAAGTCATGGTTATATTATGTAATGCGACAGACTGAATGTTGCTTCGTGACTCACTTCCCGATAAGGGGTTCATAAATCGTCCAGTTTTTTCCCTATAAAATCCCATAGCGGTGTTAACGATTAATTTCATCACAAACTGCATTTTAAGTTACAAGTATGCTGTGAAGTTATATCTCAACTTGGGCTGAGTACACCGAAGAACTCTTAAAGCTGTCAATCCGAGTATGACAGAAAGAACTCCACAGGTGGATTAAACTACTGACGCTAAGTACTCGGTGTGAGACACTATTGTTTATTGTATACGTGTGAAATACATTGCACAACAATGTTTCATACAAATATCACATTTCTCTCAGACTTCCTTCGTTCCACTTATGAGTCGTAATGGTCATTTAAGTTTATCAGTAAAGTACATTAAATATTTCTATTCTAAATTTCTAGTTTGATGATTGGCAGAAAAGTAATAATTTTGCCAACATATTTACGTTAAAATGTCTTTTAATTATTTATTTTAATTATATAAAATAACATGTTCCTGCATCAAAACATTAAGTTCTTCGTTTGTTCCTCCTTAGATTAAATAATCCTTGAGTTTTCATCCAATTAATAATCATTTCTTAAAGAGTGCAGCTTCAAAGTTCATTAACTGTTTCCTGTTTCAACATGCACCAAAAATTGTAATGTGTTCGTGAACATTGGTTGCCCGTTTGGTGACCCAATAATTTTTTGGCATTTTCCATTGAATAATTAATGAGGCATTTGGTTATTCAATAAAACAACACACGTGTTCATCAGGATTATTTAGTCATGGCACTAACTACTACTGCTGCAGATACTTTTTTTTTTATTTTTTCTTTATTTTTACCTGTGCTACTAATTAACTATTCAATCAGACATGGTCATGGTCCTTTTTTCACGCTTCAGTCAAACCTTGAATGACACTAAACGCGACAAAACGAAATGATCATCCTGTAGCTAAATTTGTTTAACTTAAACACAGGTTGCTTTGTTATTTTCGACCCCGAAGAACATATCCTATCGTAACCATATTCAACAGTTTTAGGACAGGTATCAAGAATCGTTATTACAGGTGATTATTTACATCGTAAAGTATTTCATTTCATTTCAGGTGTGTATAATGTATCTTGGTGTCTATCATAAACCCCTCCCCCTCTCTCTCTCACACACATAAACACACTGATAATTGGTTGTTTGTTTTTCTGTATATAATGTATATATGTACATACACACATATATAAACTTAACATATCAGTTGAAGCTAAATGCACCTGGAATTTATATTAAAAAAATCTAATCCGTCTCTCGTTTCTTTAGACTGTATAACAATACGGGACGATCATAACTTGTCCCTTAAAAATCTTTAAAACAGATAAACAAATTTCTGAATAAATTACACATAAGTGTTATAAATTGTGGTCAGTAAACTGTAGACATAATGGGGTGATAGAAATCATAAGTTTTTTTCTACGTCAATATACAGGTATTTTAAACCATTAGATAGAACGATACTGCACAGAGGCACACTACCTGAAATCACTATTATAACAATTTATATAAAATTTCAGTAAAAATGCGGACTCGAAACCTGTATCTGATACAGGATCACGTTTTGATAGACAGAATGTGAAAAATATATTTACGTAATATTCAATTTTCAAGGATTTGGTTGTTTCCAGGGCAATGTCTTCTGGTTTTATATATGTCTACCTACTCGCCTGGTAGAAATTCCACTCTGTACTTGCGGTGGGCTAATAATCAACTACAAGTAAGATTATGTGTAAATGTTTACTTGATAAATACTTACATTTTGACCTAACTCTTGTAACGATTAATATTGAACGGATTTAATTACTGTATATACATATGTATTTGTGTTTGAATTAACGAAAGAGATCTTTGTCCTGGCTGTTGTCTAATCCCCTTATTTATGGCATGTAGGTATACGATAGGTATATAACAATCAAATTGTTGAAATCATTGGAGTAAAATCTTCATTGATTTTTTTTCAATTAAGGGCTTGTTTGATAAGCCTCGGGACCGCCAGACTTTGTTACTTGGGACCATTACTAGTGTGGTTTGATGTCGAGTCGTCAATTTTCAAATTACTCGGAATTAGCACATATCGAACATTATTCCAGTTTTTTATTAAAAGAAGTCCAGATATGTTTTGTTTTAAAAATGGAATAAAAATATTGATAATTGGAATATAGATTGCAACTTAAAATTAAATATATCAAAAGTAAAACATTTCTGGATGAAATTAGCAACGTCTATGTACACGGTTTATAAAGTGCATATATACCCAATGATGGCTAAGGTCAATTAAGGATTTTATGAATGAAAATGTCAGATGGTTGATTTTCATGTCTAACATACATTAATGTAAAATTGTGCAGTAAAAATCACCAAAACTTAATAGGTGTACAACATTCCAGACATTGGCAGCATACTTGGGTGTCTTTTTTAATTACCAGTCATGGCAATTAGTGATTTTGATATGTGATTGTGGTAGTTAGGGTAATGGTTTTCACACCAGCCTCGGGCAGTTTTCATGTCTCCGTTAAAGGTGGCGCTACGCTTTGTACGACCGCCAATTATACGGTAGTGACAAAAACTGCCTGTTGTTTTAATCAAATTTGATTTGGCTGTACGTGCTTTCAGGTAAATGTCAATTGCTGTGACGTTGACCTTGACATCAAGCAAACAGCTGACATCGCCATGTAAGCTGGATAAATGTCACTGAATTAATTATCCTATTTTCGTAATGACACTGATCAATACAAAAAAGAAAACGGCACAAGTTCACTCGTGGAACCAGCTCACGTCTCTGCGATAGATTTTTCTCATTATTCAGCTAAATTTTCTTGTAATGTTCACGATCATAAAAAAATGTTGACTTTCTGACTTTTCGTCTCGGGCTTTCATGGTAGCGCACAGACCGTGTTTTGTGCAAATGGATATATAGAAATACGTCTACCGTGTGAAATAAGATAACACGTTCCATGTCATGTAGACACAGTATTTCTTGTTCGTCTATCACCCACAAATTTTTTTACTTTCAAATTTAACTGAAGGTGTAATACAGTAATACCTCTATCAGTTCAACAAAATGCGTGTCTGATACATAAAGTCGACGAGGAATGTGGAGGTCGTATTTCAGACATTTTCTGCTAGTTTTTTGTACGAACCCTCTCTCCCCGTCATTCCTGTATATGTTTACACACGCAATATTGAGTAATATTAGTATCTAAACTGTTGCAGCATAAAGCAAACCTATTCTTTTCACCAGCATTAAATATATTACTTGCTGTGTCGCAGTGCCTCCATGTCTAGATCGCCAGCTTTGTATAGAGAAAAAACCTGACGATCCTGTAACATATTTTGTTTACATTTGTATGTCAAAATAGGAAAAATTAATTATTAATAAAAGTAAACTCGTTGTATATATTCAATAAAAGAGAAGAATACATCATTTTCGATGAACAGGTATACAAAAATCCGTCAACAGTGAAATCATAGATGAAATGCGTACATTATTTCCAGCTGTGTGTTGTTTAATTGGCCATCAAGGAGAGGGTGGTTGGTTTAGATGAAAGGGAAATTTATCCATGTATATATAAGAAGCAATGTGTTTTCTGAAGTTCTATAGGACATGATGAATGTTTTAACACTATACTGAAATTTATGGTGTGTATGATCAGCGTTTAGCTCTGATAGACTTTGTGTGAATCAATATGTGTTTAGGTTTTGTGTCCTGGTATTATCATTTC